ATAAATAAATGGAATTTAATTAAACTAAAAAATTTCTACACAGCAAAGGAAATAATCATCAGAGTAAATAGATAACTTACACAGTGGGAGAAAATATTCACAAATGATACATTTGACAAAAGGCTAATATCCAGAATCTGCAAAAAACTCAAACAAATCAGCAAGAAAAAAGCAAATAACCCCATTAAAAAGTAGGCAAAAGACATGAACAGATTTTTTTCAAAAGAGGATAGTCAACAAGCATATGAAAATATGCTTAACATCACCAATCATTGGGGAAATGCAAACTAAAACAACAATGAGATATCACCTTACCCTTGTCAGAATGGCCATTATTAGAATATCATAAAGCAACAGATGTTGGCATGGATGCAGTGAAAAGGGAACACTTATACACTGTTGGTGGGAATGTAAACTAGTACATCATCTATGGACAACAGCATGGAGAATCCTCAAAGAACTAAAAGTAGACTTACCATTTGATCTAGCAATCCCACTACTGGGTATCTACCCAAAGGAAAATAAGTCATTTTACAAAAAAGACACCTGTACCCAAATGTTTATTGCAGCACAAGTCGCAATTGCAAAGATATGGAATCAACCTAAGTACCTGTTGACTGATGAGTGGATAAGAAAATGTGGTATACCTATACCACAGAATACCACTCAGCTATAAAAAGGAATGAAATAATGCCATTTGCAGCAACTTAGATGGAACTAAAGATCATTATCCTAAGTGAAGCATCTCAGGAATGGAAAATCAAATAGCACATGTTCTCACTTATAAGTGACAACTAAATGAGGGGTATATATGGTCACAAGGTGATGGAATAGATATTGAAAACTAAGAAGGGGGAGGATGGGAGGAGGGTGAGGAATAAAAATGTGTCTATTGGTTACAATGTACATTATTCTGGTGACGGGTACACTAAAAACCCTGACTTTAACATGATACAATACATGCATGTAACACAAAATACTTATACCCCTTAAATCTATTGAACTTTTTTTAAATGAGTGGATAGTTAATAGTTGACATGGAGAAAAATTAGGACTATAAAAACTACACTCTTAATAGAATTGATGGTTAACAAGTCACTATTACCTTCAAGAATTCAATTTTAAGGCTGGGTGTGATGGCTAATGCCTGTAATTCTAGCACTTTGGGAGGCCAAGGCGGGAGGATTTCTTGAGGTCAGGAGTTGCATGAGATCAGTAGGTTGAGACTAGCCTGAGCAAGAGCGAGACTCTGTCTCTACAAAAAACAGAAAAATCAGCCGAACATGGTGGCGTGTGTCTGTAGTCTCAGCCACTCAGGAAGCTGAGGCAGGAGGATCTCCAGCCCAGGAGGTTTCAGTGAGCTATGGCTACACCACTGCACTCTAGCTGAAGCAACAGGGCGAGACCTTACCTCAAAACGAAAAAAAAAAGAAAATCAATTTTAGTGCATCAGCTAGGGTGGAAGCTAAATGTAATTATACAGAAGATTAAATGATGAGAATATAAAAATAGCAAGTACTCAGGTAAAGAAGAGACACAGGTCCATAATTGGTGGCAGGAGGAGAGTTGAGAAGTTGTATTTTTCCCCCAGATGGAAGAGACTTTGCACGTTTGTAAAGAGGAGAATACGCCATTGGGGAAACATGAGATTGGAGATAAGAGAGAGTGATAGAGCAGCAGGAAGGAAGAAAAAGAAGAGTCCTTGTTGAAGGGGAGGGGGACAATGGCGGGGGAGATAGTCCACAGCAGTCACGAGGAGGATGAAGCACACGCCCGCGGGGGAGAGGAAACTGACAGGAGATGAGCCGAGAGAGCTTTTCCTCCGGGACTGGAGGGAAGGGGGAGTTGGCTGTGGGCGGAGTGGAGAAGAGGGCCCCACCCCCGGGAGCTCGTGTGAGGGGCCCTCGCTCTTCTCGGCAGCAGCAGAATTCACTGTGGGAAGTTGCAGGGGCAGCGACTGATGAGTAGAGAGCTCGAGAGCCCCAGCAAGAGCTGCGCTGGGGGCGGGCTCGCAACAGGGCGTCGCTGTTCCCGCGACTTCCCCAGGAACGCTCTCCGGGAAAGGCCAGACGGAAGGGCGGCTGAGGTGTGGGCATTGGCTTGGCTCGGGCAAAAAGCCTGAGGTTAAAAGGATGAGGTGAAGTCAACGTTAAAGTGTGGGAAAGCATCTTTGGCGAATGATCTGTTTCAGCATTGTGAATCCCGACACTTCAGTGAGAGGGAGGAGGGCAGTGCAGCTCAGAGGAGCCGCAGGAGCCAAACCCTCTGTGCCCCGTGCCCGCCGTCAACGCAGTGCAATACGGGGTGAGCCACGTTCTAAATGTTGCTTGAACACGTGTGTGGAAGAGGCAGATCGACTGCGAAGTTGGACGGCATCTGCCGAGTTGGCACTGCTGACGAAGTCTGTGTGTGTGTGTGTGTGTGTGTGTGTGTGTGTGTGTGTGTGTGTGTGTGTGTGTGTGTGTGTGGTTAATCGCGCCTCTTCTGCAGGGAGGAGAAGTGAGAAGATTTCTTGTCCCAGGTGATGGGAGAAGGCAGCCTTCGCGTGTGGACAGCACTGCGAAAGTAGCAGCGGTGTGCTGGTCGAGGACACTGAGAGTTTTAGATGAAGCAGGTTAGAGAAATATTTAATCTTGCAGGAATCAAGTCATGTTTGCTGGCTAGGAACAGACAGGTCTGTGGTGGGCATGCTGCACTGTATTCCTTTTTTTGCCCATACATGTGATATAGTAATTCCAGTAGTGGGACTATAACAACAAGTGCAATTATAATATATACTATAGTACAACACAACACGCGCCACACACCTAGAATGGGTTTTTCTACTTTGGAATGAGGGAGGAATGTAATTGTTTTTGCTTCATCCCAAACACCAAATGAGTGTTTCATCTCAGACACTCATGTCAGTGGCTGCAGCAGCCAGTCAGGACACAGTGGTGCTCAGGAATACATTTTCCCTCCACACACTCCTTTACTTACCAATAAAGGTCTCACTGGATAAGTTAAACCAAGAATGCAAAGTGTCATGGGGTTTATCTGTATTCATTGCTATATAACAATCCACTGAAAACTTAGTGGCTTAAAACAACAGTAATTCATTATTTATCATCACTTTAGAGTTGGCTGGCTCAGCTGGGAGGTGGTTCTTCTCCATTTGGGATCAGCTGGGGTCACTCGTGTAGCTGTAGTCACCGAGACCTGGGGCCGGTGGACCCAGATGGCTTCGCGTACAGGTCTAGTGGCTGGTGCTGGCTGCTGACCTCACATGGTCTCTCCAGAAGGGGCCTCAGACCTCTCCTCGTGGTGGCCCAGGCTCCCAAGGGTGTGAATGAAGTAAAGCTACAAAGCTTCTGAAGGCCTCACAGGACGTCACTGACATGATGTCACAGCTATTGGTCAAAGCCAAGCATAAGGCCAGCCCAGAGTCAAGTGTGGGAGGGGACCTAACTGCCACTTACTTATTAATGAGAAAAATTGTGAAGATTCCATGGCCATTTTTAATCCTTCACAAAGGGTTTAAATGAACTCTATCTGCAAAATGCCTAGTAGAGTATCTGGCACAAAGCACATTACTTCAAAATGCTCATTATTTTTATTATTATCATTACATATGAGCCTTTTTCTCCTGAATAAAAAACACTTTTTCTGCATAAGGAAGTACATGAGTTTTTCCTCAGATGAATTGAAAATTAATCAAAATATGTAAGCCAAAAATAAAAAACAATTCGTATAAGGTTCATGGAACTAGTATTAAACCTGAATATACATGTTACAAAGAATTTGGGATGTTTCAGAGAAAATGTTTGGTTGAAACATGATAAATTTGGCAGACCTAGACTAAAGAGAAAAACAAAAGAAAAATTTAAATGATATAAAATCTTAAGAGTGTCCCACTCACAACGTTTGAAGATTTAAAAAGTGTTAATCCTCTCCCTTTGTATTTTATCTGAATTTTGATCCTTGATTTTTGTTTTTGCCTATGCTGTTTTTGTAGGAGTTAGAGAATAAAACCCCAGCACAATGTTCCCACTGGGAGACGCCAGCCCGGCTGAAGACAGCACTGAGGCAGTGTCGCCCCAATGCTCGGTATGTGCTTACAGGTTCATAATGCATGCAGGAAACTTTATATTCAAGAACTGTAGAAATTCAAGCTATTGAATACGCACCTGGGAGCTACAGCGAGTACCAACATTCCACTTCAGTGACTTAGCATTTTTTGTTGGGCAAAACAGAGCTCTTCCCAGGTCAGGTGAGCGCGAGTGCTGAGCCGTTTTCTCGATAGTAGTATGGGTTTTAAAGAGCTATTTGCCAACCTTTGTTCACTTTCTATTTGTTGCCCTTGCAGTAGAACCAACTAGGATTAGAAGGAACCCCTGAGCCAGGCGTGGTGGCTCACACTTATAGTCCCAGCTACTTGGGAGGATCATTTAAGCCCAGGAATTTGAGACCAGCCTGGGAACTCAGAGGTGCCCCATCTCAAAACAAATAAATAAATAAAGGAAAGGAAACTCAGCACTGAGTTAAGTGACCCAAATTTTGACTGTAACTTGAGCCTTCCAGTTTAATGGCCCCAGAAGCCTCTTTAGGAATGATGGGCTCTGTAGGCAGGATGCTCTAGAAAACAAGACTTTATTCCTTCAATATAGGATTTTAGACAGGAAAAGATACTCTGAGAAATAATTTATTGTTTTTCTGCCAACGACTATTCCCAAACAACACTCCACAAACACAACCATTTGCTTTGGTAAAGTATTCCAGTGAATAACGATTATTACAGCCTCCTGTGCACTGCCTTCCTGAACATTCTGAGCTCTCTGGAACCAGGATGAAGTGTTAAGTCTAGATGACCTGGCCGTCTTTCTGCTCTGAAAGAAATGTAGCATTATTCAAAACAAGCAAAGGTCATGACCTCCGGCAGCTGTCTGTCTCCAAGGTCACTCATAGAATTTTAGAGTTGAAAAGATCTTCAAGACTTCTGAGTCCAAGTGTAAGTGGCTCATTTTATAACAGGGAGTTTAAGAGACGTGTTTAAATAATACGTCTTTCGGGAAAAGAATCTGAGATTTGACCTTCTGGTGTCTTTTCCACGGGGCCACTGTTGAGTTGGTTTAGTCAGGCAGAGAGCTTCCAGAGAGAACTGCTTCTGTTTTTGTGGTTGTTTGTTATCTTCCTTGTTTCAGGGTCCGCCAGCCTATTACATGTTCATCGATCTCATGACTTCCCACTTTTTCCCCCACAGCTGCCAGAATTATATGAATTAGTGAAGAATTTCAGTAAGAAGAGCAAGAAATCAAATCTCCTAAAAACATGTGGTATTACACTTGATGAAGCACAGAAAATGCTTACTGAAAACCTGAACACCGCGGCCTTTGCCAGGGGCGCTGTCACGGTAAGAGAAGATCCCCAGCGTGTTTTCACGAGCAAGACGGTGAAAAAGGAGGAGGAGAAGCAGGTGGAGGCCATGGCGGCGCTCCTGCACCGCACCCTGCTGGCGGGCTCGCAGTCGCCAGAGGAGCAAGGGCTCGCCCGGTCCCGGCAGAGGCTGTGGCAGTGCGGAATCCCCGCGCCTGCGCACACCTTTCCTCGCGAGATTCTTGAGGAGCACGCGAAGGCTATGACCCGGTTGGCCAACCTGAGGAAGCTTCAGAGCACCAGAGTTTTATGCAGGCTAGGCATTCCCAAGGTCACCCCGGAAAAGTCCACCTTTGAAGACAAAATTCCTAAATACCTCCTAGTTGACTCAGGTAATCTTAACAGATGAGGCCGTGTGGGAGAAAGGGAGTGGAAAGATTACGGCAAATTTACATCAGTTTCTACAGCAGAAATAGTCAAATGTTGACCCATGGAAATCTTGCAGTTCTGGGCTTCATAGCTGCTGCAGGAGTGGCGATACAGTGCACAACAGAGAACATGAAATTCCAGGCTCGAGTCCCAGAGTCGTTCTTGAAAAGGTGTATTATTTAGATACATCACTTAAACGCTCCTTTATGAAATGGGCCGTTTAGACTTGGACCCCAAACCACCCACAGCTCTTTGTTTCTTGTTACATGAAGTTAGCTGAGTATTATCTTGGCTTTGCTGCAATTAAGGGACGTTTTTAGAGATCTTTTTGTTCATGGCCCTTTATCCTTTCCTTACTTCTATATCTGGGCTTTCAACAGAGGCCACAACCAATGGGAAGGAACTCTCATTTCTGATCCTTTAATGGAGAGGGACCCATAAAAGGCTGGAGGCCACACAGGGAAAGTTAAATACATAATATATATGATGCTAACTTTTAACGAGAAGGGAATATTTTATACTTCAGGTCTCCATATTATGTAATTGAAGGGAGGTAATATTTGTCATTCTGAGGAGCTATAAAAATAGATTAAATTAACATTTGCACCCCTCTGAAGTAAGTTCTTGATTCAAGATAAGACCATTTTCACAGCAAATATGTTGACATCATCATTTTTATCTTGAAGGTAGTGGGAGAGACAGAAGGAACAGATTTAAAGGAACAGGTTGACTACTCTGAGCACATTTGGTCCAAAGAACCGAAAGAGCCTTTGGTGTAACTCCTGACATTGACATCTTGATAGCGCTTACTGCAGGTTTCAAATATGACTTTGATAGAGTTGTATTTTGTGTGTTTTGGAGAATAGGCAGGGGTAGAAATCAGAGCAATTGTAGGGCTGGCTTAGGTAATCTGCAAACTATACGAGTAAAATCTGGGACCAGAGAGGGAAAAGCATGAAAAGCAAGAGAATCAATAAGAAGAACTAGTCAGGCTGGGCGCGGTGGCTCACGCCTGTAATCCTAGCACTTTGGAAGGCCGAGGCGGGCGGATTGCTCAAGGTCAGGAGTTCGAAACCAGCCTGAGCGAGACCCTGTCTCTACCAAAAATAGAAATAAATTAATTGACCAACTAAAAATATATATACAAAAAATTAGCCGGGCATGGTGGCACATGCCTGTAGTCCCAGCTACTCGGGAGGCTGAGGCAGTAGGATCACTGAGCCCAGGAGTTTGAGGTTGCTGTGAGCCAGGCTGACGCCACGGCACTCACTCTAGCCTGGGCAACAAGTGAGACTCTGTCTCAAAAAAAAAAAAAGAAGAAGAAGAACTAGTCAAAAACCTATTGAAGAAGAATTCTGGATGTTGCATAGGATCTTGAACATTTATGACTTTGCTTCCGATAGGGGTGAGTTGTCCTTTCTTCCTAATGCCTGTGTTACCTGCTGTCTACCTAACTTCGGGGGGGTCTCTCGCGTGGCCTCCCCAACTCTGAATTGGAGTCTCTTCTCTGCCTACATGACCCTCATTTCCTGAGATTCTACAGGGCAATTTCTGGGACAGGCATCCATATGTAGGATATTCAGTGATTCCTTAGATTTAATTGATATTGCAACAATTCATCTTCTACTCAGTCCAGAAGAACTCTAGGATTCCTTGTATGCCAAAGAATACTACAGGACATATCCCTACTAACACCAAGCCTTGGGGGAGGAAAAAAGAGGGGGTGTTGCCATTTTGCTCTTCTCCTATCCTATGAGCCTCTCTTGCTCAGGCTAAATCCTGTACAATCATGTAGGTTAGGAGTGTGTTTTACCAAAAATAACAGAGAAACCAAATAGGGGTTGTTTTTCTTACATATTTAAAATTCTGAAGGTAGGAAGACAAGGGCTGGAAAAATGCTTTTTATTCGTTTATTTAATGGCCCCCTTGTGATTGTACATATTTGTGGGGTACAATTTGATGTTTCCGTATATATCTATGTTGTCCAATGTTCAAATCAGGATATTTAGCAGAACTATCACCTTATGTGCTTATCATTTCTTTGTGGTGAGGATCTTCAAAAGCTGCCCTTCTAGCTATTTTATAATATACCATATCCTGTTGTTAATCATCCTCACCCTACTGTGCAGTGGAACACCAGAACTTACTCCTCCTATCTAGTTGCACCTTTGTACCCATGGACCCACCTCTGCCTGTCCTCCCCGCCTCTCTCTCCTCCCCAGTTTCTGATGACCATGGCTTTACTCTCTGTGCAACAATGCTTTCTGACGTCTCCCAGGACCCAGTCTCCACCATCGTTTTGTGTGTGGCTTTTATCTTCATGTCTAACAGACATCTCCTTCATCTGTAGGCGCTATGGCCACATTCCAGGCAGGAAGAGGTGGGATAGGACAGAGGGCCACATTGGTATTTCTGTCCACTTTTAATAGTGAAGAAATGGTTTTCCAGAACACCCCTTTTCAGATGACTTCTTCCTACACTTTGTTGGCCAGAATTGTGTCCAATCATCACTCCTTCCTGCAAGGAAAGCTGGCAAATTGAGTTCTTAGTGAGCCCTCGCTGTAGCAGAGGTAGGCAGAAGAGGATATATATAAAGACTCCCTACCAGGCAGACCCAGGGAGGCTGACTAGGGCAGCGGCAGTGCCTGCTCAACCCCTGAAATGTCACAGGCAACCTACTGAAATGTCACCACCCAAGAAGGATGGTACAGTCACCTACCAGAAATAGACCAGCCCTCTGCTTATCCGCTGTACCTGTTATTCTCCTATGCTCTTTATACTGATCTTGGCTCTGTAGTCCCTGGTTTTACACTCAAGCCACTGCCTCAGCCTTGCTTCTGTTGTTGTTTTTAGCTTTACAGTGTATTTAGTCATGAAAGGAGCTGAAGGGAAGGGAAAAGGGGATGTCTGCTGAGTGGGGGAACATGCAATTTATCTTGGGTTGGTTCTCCTTGGCTCAATGGTTCCTTGAAGGGATTGAAACTACTAATGACACTCCAAGCTGGTAGGCCCTGAAAGAGTATGGGAAACAGCCAAATTCTACCTGAGATACTGCCCTTTTATACTCAGGGCTTACATTAGCATCTTGAAGCAAATGACACTAAAACAATCTATATACTTCTGGTCAATCTTCCTTGTTATTTTAACCACTTATTAGGGTCCTTCTGTCCTCCCCGTGCGGCTCAGTGCCCTGCAGGGCTCTCCATTTGCACATGCTGTTAGTATCCAAGCGCAGAGTGAGGTGCTCCACCTACCTGCCGAGGCCCTGCAGGGTCCACTCAAGCCCAGTCTGCCAGACCCACCCACTTTCCTATTTAGGAGAGGGCTTCAGGTAACATCATAGGGTCTCCCTTTGTTTATAAAGCTTTAAAAACAGCTTTTTGCCAGAAAGAGAAGGAGATTCAAGTTCATCAGAAGTTTATTCTGTCCATGAAGCATCTCTGTGTAACGGGAGGTTGAATAATAACACAATGTGATTCTTTGAATATATGATTCTTTTCAGAAAAACAATTCTTGGATCTAAAGGATCTGGAATGGAGATACTTTAAAGGTCTTGCAAAGTGGAAGCACACTAGGAGGCCTTCGTTGCTAGACATAAAATACGACACTGAGAAGAGATTTGTAGAGAGCCAGAATACGCCTGGGATCATTTTCCCCCCTGTAATTCGTAAATCATTGGTTGTTTATCCTAAAATTATTTGTCAAAAAGAAGGAACTAGTTCTCTTAAATGAGATATGTAGTTTATTAAAATATTTTACATGTATATTTTTGCTTTTGAGAGCATTCAATCTACACATAAAAAGTAAAGAAGCTGAGTACCCAATAGAATATCTGAACTGAGTCTATACAACACATGTGCAAGGTCCAAAATTAAATCATTAATATGGAATAAAAGATCCAAGTTAATCTGCTAATAAATGTAAGACTGGTTTGGACCTATGAGACCCATCTGGACCAGAGCTGAAGCAAATACAGATCATATGAAAAGAAAGAGTCCATATGAAAGAGAACTCCGAAGCAAGAATGGCTCTTTAAGAAATTTTAAGCACATAGGGAGTCCATCATGATAAAAATATTTCATAAATTCAGCAAATGAAAGAATTAACACCTGTGGATATAGAGATCAATCTGAGAACTTTAAAATAATAAATTAACTGCTCAAAGACAAAGGAAGGAAGTAACATCCATTAAACAAGAACAAGATTTGGAAAGGAACAAATTAGAAATCTTGGAAGTAAGAAATATAGTCACTGAAAATAATAACAACCCTCAATAAATTATCCCAACGCTACACTGGATATTTTTGAATAGAGAGGACTCATGAGGTGGAAAATAGCACTGAAAAGCTTCTAGATCGAAGCATGGTAAGATAGAGAAGGAAACGTAATGGAGGGTAGAGTAAGAAGCTGAGAAATATATCCAATGGAATTTGCAGAAGAAAATAAGCAGAATGAAAAAGATGTGATGTTTGAAAATAAAATGACTGCAAATTTTCCAGAAGTGAAGAAACACAAAAGCTTGAAGTGAAAAATCTCATTGAGTTACTAACAAGATAGTAAAGATAAATCTCTAGAAACACTGTAGCAGAACTGTAAAACATTAAACAAAAAAGGAAAATATAATCTACAAAAAAGAGATGGATTACATACAAAGAAATGACAAATTGACAGCATAACTCTCATGAACAAGAGCTGTCAGAAGGTGATGGTATTGTATATGCAAAATGCTAAGGGAAAACAACTGTCCATTTGGAATTCTGTAATTAGCCAAATTCTCTTTAGAGAGTAGAGGTGAAATAAATACATTTAAAAATACATAAGTACTCCGAATTGTTTACTATTCACAATCATTTACTAAAATTCTAGTAAAGTATGTACTTTAGCAAGAACTCAGAGGAATGCAAGCAAGAAATAATCATAAGCAATTAAACTGTTAATAATATGTGTGTATAATTGTGTAGATATTAAAATATATTTCTGGATTCTATTTCCTAATATTTTATTTAGAAAATTTGCCTCTATATAAGTGAAATTATTTGGTCATTTCCATTATTTGCATTATTTTTCAAAATCAGATTTTGTTTTGTTTTGTTTTGTTTTTGAGACAGAGTTTACTCTGTCACCATGGGTAGAGTTCATTGGTGTAATCATAACTCACAGCAACCTCAGACTCCTGGGCTCAAGCAATCCTCCTGCCTCAGCTTCCCAAGTAGCTGGGACTGTAGGCACACACCATGACACTTGGCTAATTTTTCTAACTTTAGTAGCAATGGGATCTTGCTCTTACTCAGGCTGTTCTGGAACTCCTGAGCTCAAGAGATCCTCCTGCCTCAGCCTCCCAGAGTGCTAGGATTACAGGCGTGAGCCACCGCACCCAGCCTAGTCATGATATCCTTTCTTCCCATTTTTATTATGAAAATGCTTAAACATTTATAAAAATAAATAGAATTGTATAATGAACTGGCACATACCCATCATCTAGATTCAATAGTTATTAAGATCTTACCACATTTATTTCATCTATTCCTTTTGTTGTGTTTGCTGTTTCTGCTGAAGGATTTTAAAGCAAATCTTAGGCCGCATGTCTAAAATGTCACTTTGGTGTGCATCTTAGAAAAATATGGACTGTTTTTAATAACCACAATAACATCCTTTACCAAGAAAAATTAACAATAATTCCTTGATTCTATTTCCTCACTGCAACCTCCAACTCCTGGCCTCAAGCTATCCTCCTGCTTCAGCCTCCCAGAGTGCTAGGATTACAGGCATGAACCACCACACCCTACCACGTGATACCATCTTTGTATCCATATTCAAAATATGGATACAAAACTGTCTCAAAACTGTATTGTCTCAAAACTGTCTTTTTCTAGTTGGCTTGTTTAAATCAGAATCCAAGCAATATCTAAAGATTGTATTTTGTTGTTAGTTCTCTTAAGGTTTTTTGAGTCTAGACCAACTCCTCATTTTTGTAATGCAATTGACCTACTAAAGAAATAAGTCCTTTGTCCTGTAGAAGGTCCCACCTTCTAGATTTGTATCCTTATGGTGCTTGTAACTTATTCTTCTATCATATAGATTTAGTTAGAAATATATCTATAGGAGCCAGGTGCAGTGGCGCATACCTGTAATCCTAATATTTAGGCAGCAGAGGCGGGAGGATTGCTTGAGTTCAATACCAGCTGCCAGACCCCTGTCTCAAAAGAGAAAGAAATCTACAAATTTATTTCTTGTAAATTGGATGTTTGCTAAGGCTTGATTAGATTCAGGTTCACTGCTTAATGGAAAGACTATTTCATTAGGTGGTGCTGTGTACTTTAGGTTGTAAAGGGTCGAGACATTGCATACCTGCAAGGCCCACACCCCAGTGAAGCCGGGGTCGAGATATTGCACACCTGCAAGGCCCACACCCCAGTGAAGCCGGAACTAACATCCGGCTTCTGGAAACTGTTGCTTGCTTGCCATGGAAACCGTTGCTTGCTTGCTTGATTGCGCCAACTTTGCATTGTTCGGACCCCTGTATAGTGGGGCTGCCAGCCAACCAATCATGTTAAAGGTCAATGCATGATCCACGCGTGATCAGCCACTACATAGCGTATGCACCATAGGAATAAAAGGCACGCTGCAACCCCAGTCGGGGTCCTTGCCTGCAAGAGTGACCACTGCATTGGTGCTCTGGGGCTTGGACCCTGGCTAGCCAGAAAATAAACCTCCTCTTGTGTAATTACATCCTGGATGTCTCTGCTTTTCTGTCCGGTGGGGCTGTAAAAGGTCGGTCCCTAACAAGGTCTGCAGTCCCCAGCCCCTAGGCTGAGGACTGGTACTGGTCCGTGGCCTGTTAGGAACAAGGCCACAGAGCTCCACTTCCACCCCTCCCCCCTCATCTGGAAAAATTGTCTCCCATGAAACTGGTCACTGGTGCCAAAAAGGATGGGGACCGCTGCTTTAGATTGCTTCACAGCAGAAGGCAAATAATGTCTGGTTGTCCCTCTTTTAAGTTTCAAGTAAGTGGTAACAGAATGACGCCTCTGTTATATAAAGTCCCCCATCGACTTTTCATCTAGTGGCTTCCATCCATTGATGACTATGGTAGTGTCCAAGGCAAATAAAATATAGAGACGCATTTCTAAATCTAAAATATTTTCTTTGGGAAACAAGAATTGCAATTCAGGGCATGCACATGGAACAGATGGTCTTCAGTATGTCCGAAGAACAAAGAGAAGGTTGGCGGTTTTAGAAAAAGGAGAACTGGGAAGTACTGTTCTGAAAGAAAGTTTTTTGGCACTGGTAAGGTTTTGAGGAGCTGACCAGCTCTGACTGGTGAGGGACCCTGGCAAGTAAAACTAGTCTGAGAGCCCAGCAGTTCGCTTCAGCAGCTGTTAGATAAAACAGGTTTCTGGTTACAGCAAGCAGCTTCAGCAGCCAGGCCTGCAGAGAATTACATTCTGGGAACCAGTTCTGTGCCTTGAGGGCTTTCTCCTTCAGCCCCTCCACTCTGGTTTAGTTGGGTATGACAAGAATGACCCAATTTATATGATCACCATTCACAGCAGCCTCTAAGAGTTCAGAGTGATCCCCACCTCCTGGTATTTACACCCTTGTAAAATTCCCTTCCCTGAGTTTAGCCTGGACTCGAGACTTTTAAGAGTAAGATGCAGCAGAGGTAATGGGATAGCACTTCAAGACTAAGTCACCGGAATCCTGTGGCTGCTGTCTTGGGCATCCTCTCCTGCTCTCTCACTCGCTCGCTAGCTCTTAGGAAAGCCAGCTGCCATCTTGCCAGGTGCTCTAGGAGAGGCCCACGTGGCAAGTATAACTGTTTCCGTGGCAGCCAGCAGGGACCTGAGGTCTGCCCACAGCCACGTGAGGGAGCTTGGAAGCAAACCCTCCCCCAGTCAAGCCTTGTGACGACTCGGCCCCAGCTGACACTGTGACTGTGGCCTTGAGGGACGCTGAGCACCTGGCTAAGCCGCACCTGGATTCTTCACCCACAGACACTGGGAAAAAATACATGCTTGTTGTATTAAGCGGCTACATTTTAGGGTCCTTTCTTACATAGTGACAGATAACCTATACCATGATCTTTGCCTGAATTATTTCATTAGAGCTTATTCACTGGAGATTTTCTAATTCTGTCATTACTTCCACATTTATTTATTTATTTGTTTATTTAGAGACAGAGTCTCGCTCTGTTGCCGGGGCTAGAGTGCCGTGGGGTCAGCCTAGCTCACAGCTGATACGGAAAATGTCGGGCGCTGGGACGTGGCCACTTGGCGCCTCCCCCACGCTCTGCATCTCCGCAGGCCAGCACTTCTCATGGCCAGTTGGAGGGCATGCTGCCGGGCCGGCCCGCGGCAGAGAGCCGCCCAGGGCCCGGGTGCCGGAATGCCCCCAGGCCCCCATGCCCCTGCCTGTTTCTGGCCACGCTGCTTGTGTAATCTTGATTGGGTAATTTTTGAATCCTACTGTTTTTGATTCGATGTTAAAGCTTGTTGTTGTTTGGATGTTAAAGCTTGATGTTGATTAGATGTTAAAGCTTAATGTTGATTGGATGTTAAAGCTTGTAGTTGATGGGATGTTAAAGCTTGATGTTGATTGGACGTTAAAGCTTAATGTTGATTGGATGTTAAAGCTTGTAGTTGATGGGATGTTAAAGCTTGATGTTGATTGGATGTTAAAGCTTAATGTTGATTGGATGTTAAAGCTTGTAGTTGATGGGATGTTAAAGCTTGATGTTGATTGGATGTTAAAGCTTGATGTTGATTGGATGCTTTTTGAGCCCTACCAAGGGTATAAAAGCAGG